AAGCCATGGGTATGGGAATGGGAGAGGTTCAGTTGAGCACAGCGGATCTATTATGTGCATGTTGTGTGGGAAGGTTCAGTCTAGAATGGCGAACCTATTCACAAGATGAAGAGTACATGTGTGTCTCCCCCCCTCTTTTTTTTTCTCTTATCTATCTTTGTACTCTGTGTTTGCAGATCCATGGTTAAATCCTGACGATTTCATATTTTGAGTTCAAAAAAAGAAGAGACAAAAAGAAATTGTTTGGTTGCCGAAAAAGAAAACAGACCGCTGTATAATAATATATATAAGCGTGCAGCCTCGTGACTCAAGGGGTTGGAACANACAAAAAGAAATTGTTTGGTTGCCGAAAAAGAAAACAGACCGCTGTATAATAATATATATAAGCGTGCAGCCTCGTGACTCAAGGGGTTGGAACAAATAATATAGAATGGTCGAATTCAATGCGACGGCAATGTTCTGCCTTTGAACAGGGCATGTTCATGTAACTTGATAGGGGCGTCCTATGTTTATTTTTGGGGGCGACAATGATTGTCCGTAAGCTCCGTGGGCTCGACAGTGATTGAATCTGGCGCTGGAATTCAACAATCATTTGTTCCTTGCACAAAAAAAAAAAACAAAAAAAAACTGAGAAGCCAAGAGCCCAATGTTTTAGCTAGATGTTTTTACACCGACTTTGAGTTTGTCCTATGCACATAAATCGAAAAAAAGGTCGGCATAAAAAATAAAAATAAAAAAATTGATGTACTGGCTAAGCCCACATGGCTGAATGGTATAACCATGAGTTGCTGATAAGTAGGCGTGAGTTTGAAAAAGTGTATTAAAATTGCGTTGTAACTCATGAGTCTTGTCAGTTCGGCAATGATGCCATTTCTTACGTTTTTTTTTGGAAATACATGTCGACGGGGTCCCAGGGATAATTTATCAGTCAGGTGCACAGTAAGAGGGCAACCTGATAGATGATCCATCTATACTACTGGCTGCAATCAATTCGTAGGAATGCACTCGCGCTACTGGGTGACCATCTGCCTATAGCAAGACTACGATCATCTGCCCTCGGGGTAGTTTTGCTTTGAATCGTAAGGCTCACCAATCCTTTAGTCTGCTGCTTTTATCTGTGATCCTCATGGTTCCTTAAGGTGCAGTCTGTCGAGCAGAAGCTCCAGTCCACTGTAAAAACCCATCTTGATCACGCTAACACAGTCAAATCCAATTCGACCTTAGTAAATTGATAAAATCTCTCTCTTTCTCTCTCCATAACCATACCTCCTAGCCTCCTTTTATGCCTCACGTACTCCTTTCCTCCCTCCCTCTCTTCCTCCCTCCCTTCCTTCCTTCCTTTCTTCCTTCCTTCCTAAATTCCTCCATGTCGCGCTTAGTGCCTCCCCCTCATGCTTACTCTCTTCCTTTCCTGCCACCATAGCTTATTGCCTCCTTCCCTCCTTGTTACCTAGAATAAGATGAGTGGGTTACCCTTCTTTTGGACATTATCTTATTTATTTATTCAATGGTGGTCTGTTAATTTATCATATTCTTTAGGGTATAAGTGATTGATCTATTCTTTAACGGATTTTTTAGTGTACTTAATTCTTATGATGTCTATCTCCTCATCACGTATGTCACGGTATGTGTAGATGAAACCAGAAGAGCCTAGTTTGTTGTCACCTTCCGGGCAACGACACAACACTGGCCGCAGGACATCATCCGGGAAGAAAAGGAAACAATGTTCTCAGACTCCTGAAGAGCATGCTCAGATTCCCTCTAGAGGGAAGACTATCARCAACTRTTCAGAAGGGGGTAAGTCAACTCCCCATCAAGTATCGCCTAGTGGGACAGGAGGAACGTCTGCTGGTGATGACTCTACCAGTGGGACAGGAGGGACGGAATCTGAAAGACAGTCTGAGAGTTTGAAGATTGCATATGATGTTCAACAACAGAGCGAGCAACATGAGTCACAGCTCTCAGCACGTAGAAGTAGGTGGATGTTAGATTGGGTTGGCGAGTCTGGGAAGCCAGGTTGTGGCGTGGTCCTTTTCCTCTTGGATAGAGGACAAATTCTTCCTGTTGGTGCAGTGTCTCGGTTTTCTGGTGCAAAAAAAACAGACGTCATTTTCTTCATGAATTCGGTACTTGACCGAAAGGGGCGCATATGTTTAGGGCTTCGTTCTGTGAACTTGGAATGGGAACAGTTCTTGGGTTATGGTGTTGGGGCCGCTAATGTTTGGCATCTCTTGACTGCAGAGTTAGAAGTGCCACCTGTTGTGCAGTTTCTCAAATTTGCACTTGAGAAACGAGTCGTAGGTCAATATCCTCAGGTTTGGAAAGGGATGACGATTTCTGAACCAAGGGTGACTGTTGAAGGTGCCTTGGTTCGTTCTGCAATCAATGTGCGTATTCCACATGACAGAGAAGGGACTAGAGACTTTGCTTCTAAGGCATCTCACAGGCATCAACCACCCATAAAGTTGAAGTTGCACGTTCGACAATCAGGTAATGACTCTATCACACCCACACGTGCAAGTCAACCACTCAGTCTAACTGACATCCCTCCCTATGGTTCCACAGGGATTTGACGATGACGATAGTGAAACAAGTGATGAGCAGGAACATTCTCTCCATTCGAAGGAGGATGCATCTAGGGAGGCAATGCATCCTTTTACTGGTGACATGCCATCACCAGGGCTTACCCTCAGCGATTTACAACCTGCATTCTATAGTGATGAAGGTGATCGGAAAAAGAGACGGAAAGAAGGTGAGAAGGGAAAGGCTGGGAGGAAGGGTAAGAGGAAAACCACAGGGGATGTTGACAAGAGAAAAGGACGAAAGATAAAAAATAGTGGAGGTCCTAGAACTGTCCAGCCGTTGGATTTCCCCACTGATGTCGTAAGAATGCGAGATGCTGATAAGGTTGCCGAAATGGCTGCGAAACCAAAGCGGAAGGCTGCTAAAGGGGGGACTATGGAAAAGACCTTGATCTATGAGCCTTCGGGGGCTGCCCAATTTGGTGACGAAGGGGAGGGTGCAGCACCAACAAGACCTTCCAGCCTTCAATTCTCATCTGTCTCCTCGAAGATCTTTCCTGTTGAAAAGGGATTTTTCATGGATTATGGAAAGGATGGGAAAATGAACACAAACACTTATTTTTGCACAGTTAGGTTGGACATGATTTTGGATATTCCTGCCCATGAACACGGCTACAACCACTGTGGACTGACCCCTCTTCACGTAGAGGACATAGAGAATGTGATGGAGAGGTCAGTGTTGGAGAAGTTCAATCGTAGTAAGCCTATTTACTCGAAACCGACATTGATATTAGTGCCCCTAAACGATAAGCCCACTGTTGATCCAACCACAGGACAGTGTTGTAAGGCCACAAGAGTTACATCTAAGGAGTTCAGGGTAGATCAAGTTGATAGGTATTATTGTTACCCTTTGAGCGACCAACATAATGTTGCGGCGGCCAGACTGTTCATTGAGAAACGACCTGATTTACTGACAGACCTCCGTGTAGATTATTGGACTGCGAGGCCTGTGCATTTCCCGGATGAGCATGAGGACAATTATCAGCAACTTAGTACATATGAGAACTTGAAAGACAAGATGGTTGTTCCACCTTCGCAACGCTTTATTGTGACGGCGATAAGGCAGATATACAAGGATTGGGGTTGCCCGTAAGTTGGTCTTGGCATTGCAGTACATGGACCAGCGAAGGAGAAAAAAAACAAGTACGAAGAGTTTGCAAAAGCAGCGCTCCGTCAAACAGGCAGCTCGAAGAACTGGGAGTTGTCACAAGGGAAGTGGGAGAGGAAGTGGTCAGACATTCTCGCCCCTTACATGATCCTTGCAAAAGCGACGGATGACGTTTGGGAGAAGGTCATGGAGGTGTACGATGCGTGGGAGAAAGGAGACTTGCCAGGACGTGATGGTATTCTTTCCCGGCGTAAGACTGGGAGTTGTCACAAGGGAAGTGGGAGAGGAAGTGGTCAGACATTTTCGCCCCTTACATGATCCTTGCAAAGGCGACGGATGACGTTTGGGAGAAGGTCATGGAGGTGTACGATGCGTGGGAGAAAGGAGACTTGCCAGGACGTGATGGTATTCTTCCTCGGCGTAAGATTGATATTGTTGGAAGAGCTACCAAAGCTGGTCCAGGATCTTATGAAGAGAAAGATAGGCGGATTTCAGTGAATTGGGTGCTTGGAACCGGGGGCGCTAATCACTTTGTGGCGGTGCGTGATCCAGATGTACATGTATGGAAAACCATGGCAACTCTGGGTAGACGAGAGCGTATCCAAGCTCTTACTGATATCTTGTCTGGGCTTGTCATTCTCGCTCCTAAAACGAGTGTTAAAGCTGAGAATGCAGGGTTACAGGGAATGGATATGTATGTCGATAACATCAAGAAAGATCGGGCGATGTTGAGATTTTTTCATTATTTTCGTTGGGAACAGTCTCATGACGTCCCACAACAGAGGCCACCATGGAATGATGAGTTTTTCAATGATTTATGCATCATTATAAAGGAATTTGAGTCGGAGGGCCTTACCTGGGAGAAGTGGGCAGTCAATAGAAATAAGTACTTCACAAATAGTACTTATGTTGATAGGTTTCCCGAAAAGTTGGGGGGAGAGAATGAGAAGGTGGTGGGCGAGACGACAAAACTTGCTCAAGAGTGTCCGGCGGGATTCAGAAGCTTCGTTGAGCGAATTTTCGACAAGTCGAACCAAAGAGGAAATGAGAGTATTCGACTGTCAGGGTTGACAAAACACATCCACTTCAAGAAACAAAATTTTATATCTGTGTTTGTACCCTTCAGGTTCTAGGCGCATGACGTTCCAAGTGACGAGGGAGATGCTGCTGATGTTCAACGTGTGATGAAACACCTCGAATGCCATGTTGCTATATTGGACTTGTGTCACCCCACACCTTTGCATATATGGATCGATGATGTCTTCCGCTCCGTGTACTACTTCCTTTGTGACTTATGCGGTGAGTATTGGTCATTGGTGTGTTTCATCCCAAGATCTTGGGAGACAACTTTCATCCAAAGGATCAGGGATTTCGACAATGTGCATCTTGTCATATCAGCATGGGCACGTCGTACTCAACATTCAATGAAGCATGCAAACCGAGTTGGAAATATGCCACTTGGAGAGCACGACAGAATTTTCGTGATCATGTACTCCGACGATGGCGATTATCATCGCAACACGATCAGCGTCCATGACTTCGATGCAACACTTTCTGGTGATTTGGTGAAGGGAGAGACTTCATCGTCCACTTCATTTGAGCCACCTCGACGTATGAGACAAGGCAAGGAGAGGGTGTTTAGCGAGAAATTTGAGGAGAAGTCGTTTGCCATGACGAAGTGGAAAATGGCAGGGATGGAGCCTAGAGAGAAAAATATGTATGAGGGGATGGAAAGGGAACCGAACAAAATGGTGGAGATGTTAGAGCATTTTTGTCCCGAGGATCAGGCAGTGCTTTTCTTAGGAAAGAGTCATGCTGCTACCGTGTGGGAGCTATTAAAAAGTAAGCGACATGTTGTTGCTTTGGAGGAAGACAACTTGAAATTTGAGTTCCTCATGCAGTACACAATGAGGAATGTTGGCGATCGCACTTATTAGGCTGCGTTCGTCAAGCCTTGTCCCAAACATGATGAAGATAGGGACATGATTCACAAACTTGGCAACAAGATAGACTCCCTCTGGCATCTTCTATTTGGATCTCAACCTCAAGATCGTGGTGATGCGGTATATGCAAGGCGAAAAAGAAAAGATGAGATTTTGTTAAGAGGTTACCACAAGGCACGTCCTGAGGCAGAGGTGCTATTTATCGACCGCTTGGAGCAAATGTACTTCAATGACAATGTCGGCGTATTCGACATGAATGCGTATGCCACATGCTTCGATGAGGGGCAACGTCTTTGCCAAGATGATTTTGACGAGGAAAGTGACAATGATACATTGGGAGCTGCTTTGGTAAGTGAGTTACAATGCTGGCATGACTCGACGTCAACTTCTGTAGTTACAGAACAACTAACGGCTGCTCAAGATGGTGTCTTGTCAACACACGAGACATCAACGCGACTTTTCAAGCAACCTTCAATGGTGGATCCATCACATGCCAATTTTCAGGCTGGCTTGCAATTTGTTGCCCCTATAGAGAGTATGGGATCAATAACGCCAACTGCAGTTTCTCTTCCACCTGCATCCGCCTCATCTCAGAACTTGTCAGCGGAAGCATTAGCCAATGCGTTAGGACAACTGCTTCCTAATATTGATGAACTCTTGCTTCAAAATGTCTCACAAATGATTCGTTCTCAAACGGTTCATGTTCAACGCAATGCACCTATAAGCGTGAACAAAGAGGTTGATACGAATGAAGGACATGGAGAGGGGGAAGAAAATGAGAAGAGAGGGGATGACGAAAATAGAAGGGTTGGGGAGGAAAGAGGGATGGAGAATGGCAATAATAAGATAAAAGATGAGGACAGGATGCCACAAGCAAACTGTGAGATGGAAGTAGACACTCTTGGAGGAAATGTTGACAATTTGCAATGCAAGATTGTGTTACAAGGAACGTCACCATCTAATGCGAGAAACATCACCAACAAGGAAGATGTTGAAACCTTTCCAGCGAATCGGGAGTGTGTTTCTCCTTTGTTGGCTCCGCATGCTGCATTGACCTCAGAACTCCACCACTCAAGGGAAGAAGATGCTGGACATTTAGTGTTGCAAGGGAACGGACATGCGAAGGGAACACAAAACGACTCCAATAGTGAAGGTAAGCTTGAAATATAAAAAAAAATTACCACCTTCATACAATGTTCTCTCTAGATTTTTCTTGACCATGAATAAAGGGTATTGTTCGAATTCCATTGCTTATGAAGTTATGAGATGCTCATGAAGGGTAATAAYTAATCYTGCAATGCTCATGTCATTAACATACTTTTYRAAAATTTATTGAACAACCCCTTAAAATTGTTCTTGTAATCATGTTTTTGCGCATGTTGTGATTTTGACAATGACTTTCTTCACAGGCGGTGATTATGCTAAGCGGGTACATCCACAAAATATGCCACAATTCAAGAATGTTATGATCAACAAGCAAGTGTTTTCCGCATCTCCGCTGACCAAGATAAGGATTGGGGAAAAGTTATTTGTGCCCTTTACAGTTCCTCGTGTGAAGACAAGGGCCCTTCAAATGTTGAAATCGGCGGGTATGAAGCTCAAAGATGGTGATGCTAAGCATCGGGAAGCTTATATAGAATGTGTTTGGGGTGATGAAATAGAGAAAAACTTGTAGGGACCAATTTGGGTAATTAGAGATCTACATAGGATTTCGAGATTGGTCCACTCTTATATTGAAGCAGAGATCTACAGAGGGTTTCAAGATTTTCCAGTAAATGTTGCTGCCCATCAATAGATGGAGCCTTCACAGTAAAGGTTTATTTCAAAGAGATGCTCATATCACCCTTTTAGGTGTGGGTACCGAACCTTGAAAAAAAAAAAAAAAAAAAAAAAAAAAGATATATGCCTTGAAAACACCACAAGGACCTGCAATGAGTTTTTGTTTATGAACGCAATCAGCAGTAGGTGAGTCCGCCATGGACGCAAATTCCCCACTTGAGGGGTAAGTCAGTCAATGCAACAACACTTTTATCTTTTCCACTTCCCACACGTGCTCATACCTTAACTTTGTACCTGATTTCCTGCAGGTGAAGCTCGCCACCAATGGATAAAGCCCTTAACAGGTAACCATTAGGAAGGGCTGCTCTTGCCACAGGTACTTGAATGTCATTTATGAAAGTGATTAGGCGTAGGTCGTTTTCCGATGGAGCCTATCCTCAATACGACTCGTTGGCTATTAGGATGGTTCTATCGAATCAGGCAGCCTTAGATTAGGTTGAAAGGTAGTCATCTCGTCGTGCTAGCAATAAATCCCTCGCCTCAGGGGCAAGGCAATCAATGTTGGAACACTTTCATCTTCTCTACTCCCCACACGTGCTCATACCTTAAATATGACATCGGACCCGATTTTGAGCAGGTGCAGTTCCCCACCAACACATGAATCTTTCAACAAGGGATCACTTAGAGGGGGTTGCTCTTACCATCCATTGCACTGGTCCCCTCATAAGCCATTAAAAAAAAACGGGTTCCTTTGTCATAATTAACACAAGATTTTGTGCTTCTCGTTATGTGCAGCAAGTGATGACTTGCAGGGGAACATTATAAGCTGTCTCTTATACACATCTAGATGTGTATAAGAGACAGCCATTGCACTGGTCCCCTCATAAGCCATTAAAAAAAAACGGGTTCCTTTGTCATAATTAACACAAGATTTTGTGCTTCTCGTTATGTGCAGCAAGTGATGACTTGCAGGGGAACATTATAAGTGCAATACATGTGATCTTACTGCCTACAAAGAAATTGTCAGATAAGGAATCACAAGAGGTTACAACTGTGATAGATAGCATGGAAGATGGTAAGATTCTAGCGGAGATCAATCCTCCGAGTCGAGGGACTTGGAGAGTAACGATAAAGGACCTCAATCTGTTGATAACATATGGGCAATGGTTGAATGATGAAATCGTCAATTTTTATCTCATGGCACTCCAACAAGACGATATGCACAGATTGAAGGTTGACAAGCTCGAGAAAGCATCGAGCGATTGCCATATGAGAAATCCGAGGGTATTTATTTTGAATTCCTTCTTTTACACAAAATTGACGACTCTTTCAAATGAAGAGTATTGTCATATTGATGTTGCAAAATAGGTTAAGGATAGTTGTGTTCTTGATTACGATTTTGTCATTTTTCCTGTGAACATTAAGATGCAGCACTGGTTGCTGGCATGTATGGATGTTCGACGCTGCAAACTTGAAATTTTCGATTCACTACCTTTAGGTCGTAGAATGGAAAAAAAAATGTACGATCACATTTTTGAAAAACTTTCATTGTTTTTCAGATATGAGTTTGGTCGTCTTCAAAATGAGAGTCGCGGAGAAAAGGTTAGGTTTGATTGTGATCCTAGCCCGGACGGAGTACCTGAACAGAAGGATAGTGCAAGTTGTGGAGTGTTCACATTAACTTTTGCTTCTCTGTTCGCTCGAGGTTATCGTCCGCCTTTCTCTTTCTCACATGTTGACATTCCGGCTATGAGAGTTAGAATGACACATGATATTTTGTCGATAGGTTTGAAGTAATAAGTGAGTCATTTAAGAATGGTTTTACGATGGAACAGTACTTTGAACTTTATAGCAGAACCATTATGTACTGTTGTACTATGCCACTTTTTTAATGGCTAGGAGACGAACAAGTGCGGCATGTTTGAAATCTTAGGCCTGCTCTGAGAATTATTTAGTACTTGGTTTCATTGTCGAAAACATGTAATAAATAATGAATATTTCGTGATGACTATTTCCGAAATCTTCGAAAATTCATATTTCTAAACATTGGTTGTTGCAGTAATTTATGTTGACTTAAATTTAGATATCGCCTTGAGATGTAAGATATTATAATCTACTACTTTTTAAATATGCAATACAAAATGTAATTTCTAAACTTCGTATTTCACTGATGCAAACATGTTTTTGAAATTTGTATTTTTTTCGGTTTTTTTTGTGGTATATTTATACTTACAAAAAAAGTGAACATGAAAACAATTTCACTTTTAATGAAAACACGGTTTTAGTAAAAGGTTGGAGTGTGGGGAGCAACGACCGAAGGTAGGGGGGGGGGCCTTCTAAGGTGGTGACGTATCTTTCCACGTTTTAGTGGGAGATTCATTTCGATTTGGCTCATATGGGGGATATCGCCGACAGGTAAGATGGGTAGCCTGTTGTGGATTGAAGACCACCTGTGGGCGGAGCGCAGCTCACCCCGTTGTGAAGCGGCCTTGTTCGGCCTATCTGCAGGCAACGGCTGGAAACGCAGTGCATCCCGCTGTGTACTGGCAGAAGAGGACCGTAGATTGGGMTGAATGTTGTCGACCGAATCGCAGGCAGAAGAGGCAGCGGTTGCAGTTCATACAGAAAAGGGGGGGGGTGAAGTACGTACCTCGGTTGCCGAGGAGTTCGAGTAGGGGCATCCGGTCGACTCTAAGAGGAAGGCTCGTTGGGTGTTGTCAGTTCGACAGGGGAGGATGTAAGCCGRGGTCAGCTGCTTTGCAGCGGAAGGCARCATACTACTGGGGACKACTCACTACCGCAGGGCCGGGTCACGGGCATCTGCTGTGCAACAGGGACGGGGGGCAGRCTGTGGAAGTTAGGCTGATTGCTAAARATSAGCAGCTTGGCGGTCGCATGCTTACGTACGATGGTCAYACTAGAGCTCARCTTGCKGCAGGGCTGCTCTCAGTTGTGGATCCGCTGTTGGGCATTAGGTTGCTTGCTTCGACGGCGTTGCCTGCTGTAGCGGTTGTTGAACTGGCCTACAGGCTGAGGCATCCCGCAGTCTGTTATACAAGCAGCCAGASACAGCCGCAGGACCGTAGGCTCAATTGTAGCCTGGGCGCTGCTCATTCTGCGGCACGGAGTAGCACGGGGAGAGGGGCAAGCTGCGAAACCACARCACTCTTTGCTGCTTTTGCTATGGGYTATGCGGCCTACCCTRGCTGACCGTGCTACAGCAGCGATAGATGAGCCACTACGGACTGTTGCGCTGCCTTAAGCACGGCTGTTCCGCGCTGTGTGAATGCAGTTGGACCCCGAGAAGTGCAAGTATGGCGTGAGAGAAGTGTTTGGACTGCGTAGGGAGGGGTGTACAATGGAGTGGTTGAGCTGTAAGAAGGGTTACTGCTGCGATCGGGAGGATCATCAGGGGGCCAACAATCAACAGTTGGTGTTTTGACTTCAGTGACCAGCGATGGTGCGTTTTGGCTGCCATTGCGGGGCCCTAAGGCGAGTGAAGGTATCAAGGCCCTCTTCTTGGGAGTTGAGTTGTCCCTCTCATGTATCTCAAGAGTCTGAAACCCCTCTTTCTGCCTCTCTAAATCTAAGTCTAATCCTGTTCTGAGGGGAAGGCGGCAGGCGGGGTTGCAACCCGTAAGACCGCCACAAGACTCTGTGGGGAGTCAACCCACCGATTGCGGGAGCTCTGCCGGAACTCAGGAGGAGTTCTGGAGGCAGGGACCTGAAAGGTAATTGTTAATTTCCCTCTGTAAACCCAGGTATAGCCCCTATCTGTACTGCCTGTTGTGTTTTGACTGAGTATACGACATACATCCCTACTTTGACTTTTTGGTTTGACTTTCAGGACATGACTCAGATAAAGTAAAGGAATGCCTGTGCAATCTCAGTTTCAGTTTTGCTGATTGCCTGAAGGCAGATTGTGAACAGAGGGGGATTGCATCTGGGGGGAAGGGTGGGTGAAAAATGGTTTTGCCTGAGGCTGACAGGGTCCTATCGGGTCAGACCAGTTCCATAAAATTGGACGGTCTGACCGCTGTGTTTTATTTTTGAATTGAATGGAGAGTCAGACCAGTTCCATAAGATTGGACAGTCTGATTGCTATGAATTGTGAGGGTTTGACTGTGGCTGATTTTTCAGGAGCCAAGTCTCTACCATAAGATTGGAGGATTTGGTGGCCATGTTTGATTGGGGTTTATTCTGTTTTATTTGTTTCTGAGCGAGGAGGTCTAGGCAAGTCCATAAGATTGAATGGCTCGGCCTCTCCCTGTTTTTTTTTTAGGGGGTATAATTCTCGCTGAGGCCAGGGCATGTCCATAAGATCGGACGGCCTTGGACTCATGCCGCAAACAGTAGATCAAAGAGAAACGAACCTAGCGAAGGACCAGATGTGGTCCATAAGATTGAACGGTCTGGCCCAATGCCTCGCACATGCTGGAACCCAAAAGGGTTATATTTTGGCTATATTCTATACTATCCTATGTATGAACAGGCTAGCCAGGCATGGGTTCCATAAGATTGGACGGCCTGGCTATAGCTTATTATAAAATGAAGAGAGTATAATTAAGAATTTAAGAGTATAATTGAAGGTAGTCCTGGGCAGACCGGGCCTTGTTCTAAGATGAACGGCTCAGTCCTATGCCCAGCTTTTGAACACCAAGCTCAGAGATATATATATAAGATGGATATTAAACAGTTCTGGGCGACTAAGCCTTGTTCTAAGATGAACGGCCTAGTCATATGCCCAAAAGGAAGAGAGAAGTAGTTGTGCAACCTGTTCGTGTATACTCAATGATTGAGTCAGGCAAGTTCCATAAGATTGGACGGCTTGACTTTATGCCCTATGTAAGCTGGGTATAAGGGATTAAAGCATCGAGAGATTACAAACTATTGTTTGCAAAGTTTGACTTGGGGTGACGAGAGAAAAATAATAGTTAGGTCTTAGGTCAATTTTCGCATTTTCTGGGATTTTTTATTATACTCGTTTTTTTATAAATTTTGGTAAGCCACTTTCTCTGCGGGAAGCGCTGCCGAAATTTCTACAAATCCAGGAAGTTAGTCAATTCTTGACTTTTCAAAGTTCAACTTGTCTAAAGTTCATATATGACTTAGTAAAAATCTGGAAAGTCTCCTTTTTTAAAGAAAGTGCTGCCCAATTTTTTGCTAATTCAGGGAGTTAGACAAAATTGAACTTTGAAAAATCAAAGACTATTTTTGGCTTCATATTTGTGCTGATATAAATTCTGAAAAGACACTTTTCCTACGGGAAGCGCTGCTGAAATTTTCTTGATTTAGAGGGGTTGGATTATATTTCGACAGGTGGCGATTCTCGCGATCCACCCTGAATAGGGGAGATTATACCAGGGTCTACCTTTGCTTTGGGCACTGCTTAAAGGTAGATTCAGGTTTAGTCTATTAGAAGGGTCTTGGATGAGAATGTGTTATGGAGTTGTATTTTTCATACACTTATGAGTTTAGCTTGGGGGTTGGCCTGTCTTGTGTTACATGTCCTCTTGGTCGCTTGATTCAGGACTTGGACTAGATTCAGCTTGATCCTACGAGGATCATCTTCTGTTATCACTGATAACAGGTCGGTTGCCGATTCGTCGGTTTACGATTCAACTCCAATCCACTCTTGCCACTCAACCTAAAGGCTTTAGCCCTGTGGTTTGAATTGTTTCATTGTGTTTTCACCCGGACTTTATTGAGTGGCCATCCAACAAAAGTACTGAGTATTTATTTTGGGGAGTTGCACAAGAGTGAGATTTTTGTGGCTAAAGCGAGGGGTATGAGCATAGAGAATGGTTGAAGTTTACCCCGTGTAGTGCGTGGGCCTTTGTTGTATCTTTGATGTGATTGCAGGTATGTTTTGTGGTTCGGACTCTGGATGTGACTTCCTGCGATTACATACATATATGGCTGAGAGGAGTCCCACTGTGACTGTGAGAAGTGATCGTCCTATATAAATAAACCKATGTATATATTTATATGTGTTTGGGGCACGCRCGCAGCCTATTGTAATCGTGCGCAAGGGTTAGCCAGATTCTGGCTTGAGAGAAAAAGGGAGACCCYTTTTCRTCCTTTGCTTTTTAGAGATTTTTATGGTTGGAAGTTGTAGTCCGTGGYWGYYGTYGAAGTCAAACCCCTTGACTTTCGCCCAGGCCTGGGGTAGGACTCATCCCTAGGGCCGCAAGAAACGACTGCCACCACARGTGTGGACCTGTGTACCACCCGCTCTSCATAAGGTRCAGAAGAGGGTGTGTGGTCTTCAACYGCRCATGGCGGTTGTCCGRCGTCRAGAGATTAACCCTCAAGGCGCGTGTCAGYCGACACTTGAGTGTCGAATGCGACCCTCGAGATTAAYGAGGASCGCGMGAGTATGRGTACTACATGGTACGCCATCATTGCGACTGCTTGCRTACGYTGGCATTGCGAGTCGATATGAGTAGGCCCTGCGTCCGCGCGGTTTTATACTAAGTCTCGCGCGCGACGCCTATCCGATTTTCGCATCGAAAAATTATGGGACGGCTACTGAAGGGGCTAGGAGTGTTGTCGCGTTGTTCGATGTGTGTGTGTGTGTGTGCGTTTTATTTTTGTTTTCTTAAAGTAGTGTGCGCGTGGTGTGTGGGATGCGTCCTAGTCGACCGACGACGAGCCGCGCTTGGGACTTCAGCCGCCCAAAATGTCGGTTCGCGTGCGGACCCGATGGGCGTATTACCGCGCGTGCCCCCTATACTACAACGAACGAGAAAACGCCCTCCGCTGGTCCACCTCTGCGATTGCAACTGATTAACTTTCGTACTGTAGACTGGTAGCTCGGCGGGGATACGCCCACCGAAAGGAGGTGAGAGCTCCCGTAAGGTGGAGGTAAGTTGTGCCTCGCGTAGGCCCTATCCTGTCGTAGGGGCTCGCAAGAGGTATGGCTGGCGCACTCGGCCGGAGCGGCCTAAGGAAGCTCCATTTGCACGTTCGTGTCGAGGTTGGTCCAACTCCTGCGTGACGCGGCCGAGAGGGTCCCGCGCTGCTACGTGCGGTGCGGGACCGATGCGCTCGACAGGTGGCGCCGTTGCCGGGGATAACGGTCGTCTACCGTTGTCCCTGGTGGAACGACATTCGGGTACGGGAGTGTGAGAACTAGGCAAAACGAGAGGTCTTTGTTGAGCCTTTATGGTTGATCGACCGAAGGCGTTGGATAGAAAGCGAGTGAGGGATTGATTGTGTGAGTTGGTTCTATTCGGTGCAGTAAGGGTGGCGCGAAAAGGGATGAACTTTGACTATGCGCTCACGTACGTTGACTATGCGCGCACGTACTTCGACTATGCACTTGCCTACTTTGACTAGTATGACGATAGTTGGAGTGGATGCCTCTTCTAACCCCGATAGTTGATGGGTTTAGGCGATGCGTTGCATGTTTGATACAACTAAGGTAGGATGAGGCGGTATCAACAAAGCTAAGTGTGGTGGTTGTGGAAGTTGGCCGTGTAAGGTGCCCATTATGGCTAAGTGAAGTTACCCGAGCAGTCAAGAGTACCATAGGGTACTTTGGCTTTAAGGCGAGGCGTAGAATGAGTAGAGGAAGCCTACTATGTTAGAAGTCGTCAAGGGACTTCGAGGAGAGTTAGGCTAAGGATATTGAGAGTCTGCATGAGTATGGATTGGGATCTTGGAATTTGGGTTCTAAGTAGTTGCTCGAGTTGTATAGCCATAGAAGTCTGAGGCTTGCTCTGCATGGTATGCTTGAAATTAGGCGTATAAGGCAGTAAAGAGGTGCGGTGAGTACCGTGGTAAGGCCCCAATAGAAAGGATTACGGGAAGTAGTAGACTTGTATGGCGCCTGATAGTGAAGGGTATATCATGTTATTCATGGTAGACCATTGCTTTGAGCCCTTTCCAAGTTTGGACCATCCACTTAGGAAGCTAAAAGACTTGAGACCGTTTGTTTTGAGGATGTTATTTTGAGCTATATATTGGACTCATCTATGGATGCCAGACCTTGTAAGCCTAGTCTACGCCTAATTATGAGAGGTTATATGTTTAAGTGGATATCCTATTCAGGAGTATTTCGTGTGGGTTATTTTATTGGGACTATATTTGGGATCTTATTAGCCTGTAGAAATCTATATCAATGTCCCCAGTCCAGCAGCTGGCTCATGGTTGGCTATTAAGCTTGTGCGGTTGGGTCGCTCTTCCAAGAGGGGTAGAGATTGTCAGCTTAATAACGGAAGGCGCGTGCTGGACGTTTGTCTGCGATGGGCAGAACCCAGACAAAGTGAAGGCAACTCAGGATGCCTTATGCACAGGAAGATCCGCGTATGCTCAGGCCAATTGAGAAAGAGGGAGGGCTCGAGGTGTCTTTGCCCAGGCGGGTTAGAGCAGGAGAGTACCTCTCTTCATGGTGGGGCATGTTGATAGGCACGGACACCTTTGTCTGGATTGAGTCTGGGTTTGATGATGAGCGGGAATGCGCAATTGTAAGGGTGACCCTGTACGCCTCAGCCGCCTTTTGGATCGAGCATGGGATAGAGTTGGCGCTCGGGCATGGGAGCGTGCTTGCTAAGCCTTTGAGGGTAGCCGAGGCAACCGCGGCAAAGTGGGCGAGGGAAGTGTCTCGTGATGGGGAAGAGCGAGTACTAACCCGCGTAAGGGTCGAGCGCGCTGGAGAGTTCGGGCTTCCATCTGCTCCGCTGCGAGTAATCCTGCCCGAGTTTCTGATAGAGAAGAGTTTTGGTGGGCAGGCGAAGGTAGAGGCGGCAACTGAAACTGCTCTGAGGGCGCGAGATTGGGAGTATGGGCGATACACATGTGAACTGATATATGGTCTATACCTAGACCTGAGATTCCTGCCCTCTAGTCAGGGGCTCAGGAACACGGCCAATACACTGGACATATACGCCTCGTCTCATGATCCGAATGAGGGAAAGGTAGACTGGGAGGAGATTCGGGCAGCAGTAGGCCGATAGGGAATGCCTTCTTTGCCTACTAAATGCGATTCTTTTGACTTGGCTGGGGTCGCCTCTCTACCCATTACCGTAGTTATAAAGGTAAGCGTCAGGGTAACTGGGGCTAAGGCCTGATTGCGTGAGTAAAAGGGTAGATAGCGTGGTGTAAGTATTAGTAGTTTGCCTTTGTCTACCTGAGCTTACTTGAATTACTGTCTGATGGTCTATTGCCCGTTATGCGTATAAGGCTGCTGCCCGCACCATCATGATGGCGGAAGAAAGCGGCTTCGCCAGGATCCTGCTTTGGAGGAATTCGTGCCAAATGAAGGTGTTGTTGCGCGAGGCACTGCAAGAGTTGATGCCTCCAGACCTCCGTGCCCTGTTCTTCCAAGGAAGGAACTTGTCTGGCTTTCTGCGTGATTTCCGATAATCTTGCCTTATGAAGAGGTGGGACGAGAGAGCGATAAGGTGCATGCTTCCCCTCTTCATCTGTGAAAGGTTGGGTGAGGAAGTGTATATCCTCAAGCAGGAGTCGAAAACATGGGATGTATTGGAAAGTTCCTTAAGGTTGAGGTTCCCAGAAGAGGGAGTAGAAGGTCAACGTCGAGGATGCTCTGTTGCGCCAGTTGCGGGCGCACCACCATAGGCAGAGCTAAATGGGCTACAAAAACAAGTAGGGGTATTGGAAGGGAGGCTAGCACAGCTGGAAGAGGCCAGGAATGGCAAAAGGAAGGCCTCTGAGGGAGCATCGAGTGGGCTGACTGCAAGAGGCGAGGCAGAGGCAAGGATGGATCGTCAGGAGCCACTCCCCCACAAGAAGACCCCGCAAGGACGGGCTTGCGTCCCGGAAGGAGATGAAGGTGAGGGGGTCATTGAGCTCAAGGAGGAGCGGGGAGACAGTGCGGTCCTGCTTGTCATTGCGCCTGATCCGGAGAGGGGGCTTATCAACGTGGAAGCATCCTCGACTGCAGGGCGGAGGGAGCAAAGGTGTGAGTGGTGGCCAGAGCACTGGGCAAAAGCGGTATGTGATCGTTGGGGAGAGATTGGTCGCACCCCTCAAGGAGGCAAGGAAGAGGGGGTGATGGATGAAAAAGGGGAGCTTGAACCTTCCAAGTTGACGAAGGCTCAGCGGAAGGCGAGGAATCGGGCCCAGGAGGGTCAAGATGCAGGAGAGGGGCAGTGCTCACGACAGATGGGGGCCACCCCGCAAGAGGTGGAAGGCAGAGCAGCGCAAGAGAGGCCCCCGCCGGTTGAGCGTTCGCTATACGGACAGTGGGAGCCATGCGGTTGAGTAGGGCCAAGGCCCATATATGGTCCATATCTGCCCTGTGTACAAGGCAGTTGGTTGGGCCCACAAATGGAGGTGATGCCACCTAGACCTCCTGCAGTCCCGTTTCAACCAGCCTTGGGTATGAGGTCATTACAGCCACCGATACCACGAGCGACGGAAGGCCACGTGGCCGGTGGAAGGGGTCAAAAGCGACAGGCTAAAAAGGGTTGTGGGGATGAGGGGCACGGAAAAGGGGGACGCGGTGGCAGCAAAGAAAATAGGTCTGGAAAAGGACATTTGCAGACATTGTGCCAAGGAGGGGCACATAATAAAGTTTTGTCGGGAACGGAGGGCCGATGTGGCAAGCGGTCTAATAAGGACTGACATTGAGGGAAATGTTTTCGACAGGACGGGGGAGTACATCGACCCAACCATCCCAGGAGGAACACGAAAGGAGGCTTTGAGGCGGGATGCAACATCGAGCACGGCCTCGTGAATGTAGTTGTGAAGGAGAAGGGTTTGTGTGAGAAGGGCCTGGAAATTTAAGCAGACTGTAAATGCAAGCGAGAAATCCCAATCGTATAGCTGTTGTAGATAGGCACAACGTAGAGAGGGGAGGGATTTTTGTAATAATGGTCCGGTTAGGTAGCTCGAGTTGTAGGCAGGAGGAACTCCAATAGAATAACTGTATATATGGGGTATGTTAGGTCTGCCTCACGTCATGCTATTGGAATGTCCCAAGTGGATGGAGCACGGAGTGACCCTGAGGGCGTCGTTACGAAATAAGGGTCTGTTCTACTAGGCCTATTGACTAAGAGAGGAAGATATGGGACCTACGTCGTGTCTAGGCCTGAATGGTTGTATAGGTGTGAGTGGTAGGAGAGGCTCGGGAAGAAACCTCAACATGTGGGAGATAGGCTCTCTAGCCTAGGAAGGCAGTTGTAAGGCTTGTGTATGAATGACTTTTAGTCTTACCTGTCCTAAGATATCTAGATATGTCTTGAATTACTTGGGCCCCGCTGACTCGAGAGGTATGGCTATGTCCTGGTCGCAGATGTTTTAGCTTTTGCCTTTGGCCAGGGAGGCCGCATTTGTTCTTGTGTGATACCGGGGCCGGTTTGAGTTGAGATTGTTCAACTCTGATTGTATATATGTAATTCGAGACCATTTGGTTCGTGTTTGAGTTGGGGCATTGCACCCCTGCGTGTATATTGAGTTGAGGCTTTTATCCGAGACTACTCTTTGTATATGACGATCACAATCACTCTCACATGTGTGGTTTTATCCTGATGTATGATGATTTCGTGTGAGAGATGCATCAGAAACATCTCATGAGTTGTGTGAATTTCGTGAGAATGAATGAATGTGAACTGTCTACTCTTCGGTATACTCGTGCAGCCTGCCTACGGGCAGGACGGGGCCGAGTATAAGGAGAGGGATCGCAGTCTGTTGTTGTGAAAGCGTGAGAACCCCAAGTGATTTTTGCGAGTCTTTGAGACTCGAGTACTTACCATGCCGGTTGTTTTATGATTAAATTGTAAAAAAGACTCATAAGCAGGTCCCTTAGTTGAGTTGTTTTGTGGTTGAATTGTGGAGAGGACCCACAAGTAGGCCTCTCGGGTTGAGTTGTTTTGTGATGGAGACACCTTTAGATTAAGGGAGGTGGTAGTGTTGTTTATCGGAAGGACTCGTCGCCAGAAGGAAGGCGTTTTAAAAAGGGGTCGTGTGATAGTTCATCCTAGAAAAAGAGGGATGGCTGGGAGACCTATTGAGAGAGACCTCCTTCGTGTGAAAGGTGGTTAACAGATCTAAGGGCATGGTAAGCAGTGCTTGAGTTGATAAAGCCTGACGAGAGGAACCAGAATTACAGATTGGATCATTGGTGGAACTGAAAAGGTCGCAAGTCAGTGCATTAAGATGTCGTGGGATGTGTGGGCTGCTATCTCTGATCATGTCAGTAGGCCACGACCTTGTGTATGAGTCTGGCGGTGAATCTGTTTCTGATTGTGAAAAGGGGCCAGGTTTCCTATGTTGTCCCGTAGGGAACTGGTAAACGCCTTTAAAGTGAGACAGACCCCTGCTTAGTCCCACAGTGGGCCTGTGGTCTGTTTTGCGACCCACCGGTCAAACACTTGTGCTAATCCCAAGGCATGTTGAGGAATATCAAGCTAAACGGTAAAGGTTAGCACATCTAGGGCGCAACCCCTATTGGATGACTGCAAGCCAGCACAACCTGGCTGCGGACCCACGTCTACCAACGGGGTAAGAGTTTGAGGGGTTATGCACGTCCCAGGGAAATTACTCAGGTGGGATGGCGGGGGACATGAGTCGAGACTTTGGGTAGTCCTGATTGAATGCTTATCAGGAGAAAACCTATTATTGCATAATTAACGAAGGAACTGTCGTTAAGATAACAATGCAGCAGGCCGTAGATCTGGCTCGATCAACCAGACTATGGCGGGCCAGGATGAAGACCTAGCGTTTCTGTACTAGACTGCAGAAAGAGCTGAGAGGAGATTTATGTATATATATATATATATATATATACATATATATATGTTTGATTCTGAGAATTTTTGCGAGGGAGGCGAGAGTGCCTTCTGAGGTCTCATTTAAGGCCCACGTCCCCTGGGTATGACTCTGCTTGCGAGATAGAGTATAGCCGGGACACTCAACAAGAGGCCGGCGTTTGTCTAGGACAAAGGGGAGAGCACAGTTTGAGGTGGCCTTTGGAACTTATGCTGTAGTATTGACGCGTAATACACCGGTGTCCTAGCGTCAGGACAATGGGGACCCAAGTTAAAACCCTGGCGGCATATAGTTATGTGGGCATAGATTGTTGGAGGCCTCGAACTTGAGTCTCTCGGCTAATCGGATTGGTTCCCTTTTCGTCAGCATTTGGAGTACGTGCAAATTCATAGCTTTCTGATTTGGCGAAGCGACGGGGACGTCGCTCAATGTAGTCCGGTAAGCTGTCGGCACGAATACCCTTCCAAGGGTATCCGCCCTGGTTTTTGCAAGCGGCAGAAAATAGGTTTGGTTTAAGGTTTAAGTATACCGCGCTAGGCGCGACTGCGTCTGTGACTTACGTTGACAGGGTGGTTGACTAGAGTGAATAGTGCGTGGGCGCGCAGGTTTAAGGCGCGCGTGATTCTCTTTGTTGTTGATCATAAAGCCGGCGCAAACACCGACCGTTCTGTTTAACGATATTATTAATATTTATTTATTTTTTAAGCAGGAATTAGGGATATTTTCTTTTGATTGGTACGTCTGACCGAGGTGAGTGCGCGTGCGGAGATCGACCCCGACGACGATATCGGCAACGACGGCGCGACTTCGTGCGGTAAATGGGGCGACGTAGGATGGCCCGCGGGGGCGGCCATGACACGGTCTGGGTAGGCCGACGCGGACTTTCGGCGACCATGCGCGTAGGCGCAGGCTAAGGAGTGGCGCGGGGCGTTTTCGCGGCCCTGAACGACCACGCCATATCACCTTATATGGAGTTTCGGGTGGAGTTGGTAAAGGCTTGGGCTTAGCCCTATAGGTTGCGACACTAAACTGTTACTGTCGGGGTTCTGGGATCGAGACGGGCGGGCGACGGCGCAGCAGCGGCTGGGCGCCATGGAGGAAACTGAGGGGATTGAGGGCCCGACGGGACTATCTCCCCCTGGTTTTGCTAACAGGAGCGGTAACAGGACGGTCCACGGGACCAGTGAAGCTTTAGCCGTCCCCGCACCCCGCTTACGGGTTTTTATTACTGAAGTTTTATTTGGTCTTTGTTTTTTTTTTTTTTAGTTATTTACTATTCGCGGCCCTGTTTTAGGTTGGGACGCGGTGCCCCGGCTGAGGGCTATCGGAGTGTTGGATGTCGTCTCATTGCGTGGTGTGAAAGGCCGGGGATGAACCCGGACGCCAGTGAGGCCGGATGCGCTATTAACCGGGCGGGGGTTAGAAGGGTCGAACGGCCTTTGCCCCGGCCCGGTCCTTCGGGACATCTGTTAAAATTGGAACGATTCAGAGAAGGTTAGCATGGCCCCCGTGCAAGGACGACACACATAAAACGGGGAGAGCCGGGGCGCTCTGGCATTTTTTTTTTTTTTTTACTTCCGTTGTTCTGCTCCAGAAGGAGCGCTCGCTGGAGGAAGCTGCGTTAGCAGCCGACGCTGTAGGCCGGGCGCCGTACAGTCGGTCGCGGTGGGGACAGCGAACGAACCAGGATGAAAGGGGGGGCCGGGTAGGTTCGAAGTGAGAGAGAGAGGGGAGAGAGACGAAGTGAGGAGAAGACGAGCAGGGCAAACGGCGGGCGCTGAACTAGAGTAGCGAGACGAAGTACAGCGGAGCAGAGCAGGGCGCCGGGGAGCAAGGTAGAAAGTGGCGCGGAAAGAAGGGGATGAACCCGGACGGGAGGTAGGCTCTGGGCACATTCGAGGATCGGCACGGAGGGTGGTAGTCGAAGGGAGGTAAGGGACGTAGGAAAAAGGGATGAATGGGGGCGCGATTCCGTGCCAGGTGCATGCACGGTGGGGAAAACAAGTGAACAAGCGGGGCGCAGCCAAGGTAAGGTGGTTCGTGTGATTCCCAACGGAATCAGGTGGGGTGGGAATCAAAGTGGGGGTTTGTTGGGAAGGCAAAGTCGAGTATGTAGTTAGATTTAGTAATGGATTAGTAAGTTTGGAGAGAGAAGAAAAACGAGCTGCGCGGAGTTATGGCGGAGAGGGGATATGGTGGAAGGAAGAATCGAGTAGCTTTCCTGTTTTCTGATGGTTTCGGGCGAGGGGAGACCCGATTCTGGGGTTTCTTGACAGGGCGATTTCGATGGGATAGTTAGTTTTGGGTTTAGTCTATCAGGATTAGAGTTAGGTAGAACAGGGGCTGCGTGGATATGGCGAGAATGGAGGAGAATAGATTTGAGGGGACAGAGATCGCGCCTGTTTTCTAACGAAAACGGGAGAGGGAGGAGTCAGATCGTGCATTTTGTGGGGTGGCGACCCCGATTAGGCAGTCAGAATCGGTGAAGGGTTAGCAGAATAGAAGTTAGTAAGAGGTTGGACTGCGTGGAGCCACGGCCGAAGGTAGGGGGGGGGGTGCTTCTAAGGTGGTGACGTATC